TCTGGAGCGCGTGCCGTCATTTCGCTGCAAAGAAGTTCATAATAATTTTATTTTGCTCAGTTTAATATCAGTTAATAATTGAACCTGACAGATTTTAATGGGCTGTTTTGATGATGGTTGGTTTATTAATTGATTAAACGAATAATTTAAAAGAGTTAAAACAAAATTAGCTCAAATATTTTAAACACAAACAACAAATAATCTCTGAAGTCTTAAACATAAAGTAGCTGAAAGGTTATTAAGAACCTAACCACTCTTAAAAATATGGTTCCTCAAGGGTTCTTTAGTAAAGACAGTGGTTATATGGTTCTTCAGATTGATGGGGAATGTGTTGTATATGGCTGTTACTGAACCTTTGAAAATGGTTCTCAGCGGTCTTGCTTAATTACTCCGAAATGCTGAACAGGTTCTAGATATTAACCAGGATGAGGCAAAACTCCAAAATACAAGGTAATTTAATCTGGTTAACATGATGGTGAGTTCCACCATTACACTGAAATACCAAACAGGTTCTAGACTTTAAGCAGGTAATGGTGTGGTACAAACCCCAGATTACTGTGCAACTGTTTTGGGTAAAAAATACTGAGTAGTTCTATGACTGTGCTAGAATAAAGCACATTCTTAAAAAAAGACAGTTCTTTGAGGGTTCTTTAGTAAAGACTATGTTTCTATATGGAACCAATAACACACATTTTTATTTTGCATGTTTAAATGGTTCTTCTGACAGATGGAGAAGGTGTTGTATATGGTTGTATATAGAACCTTTTTGAAAATGGTTCTATATTGCACCAAAAAGAGTTCTGCTACTGTTATGATATCAAGTTTGTAACAACAGAAGAACCCTTTTGGTGCTACATTGAACCATTTTCAAAAAGGTTGTATATAGAACCGTACACAACACATTCTCCGTCCAAAGAACCATTTAATCATGCAAATGGTTCTTTGATTGTTCATAGCTCTATATAGAACCACAGAGAACCCTTGAAGAACCATCATTTTTGCAAATGAGATGAGATGCCAAGAAGTTTAAAGAACCCCCCACATTATGTGAAAGTTCTGGACAGAGCATTTACATTTGTCATAACAACGTAATGATAGTAGAACCCTATCTGATGAGCCATTTCACCATGCAAAGAACCCTTTAATCATGCAAAAGATTCTTTGAGTGTTCATGGTCTATATAGAACCATTTTCTTTACTGAAGAACCCTTGAGGAACCATCTTTTCTAAGTGTGTGTAGTGAAATCTGACTGTGATTCATCAGATCTCATTCACAGTGTCTCCACTATTAAAAATAAACGCACAAACCACAAAAGTCATTCGCTGAGAATTAATGTCAAATAAAGCCCTGTTTGAGATCAGAGCACCGATAACACCCACAAACAGACATCATCCCACCTTCACCCCCACCTCCGCCTCTACAAATTGTTTTCTGATCGACTTGGGGTCGTCGCCATGCCGACGTGAGGCAAACACACCAGCGCCGAGATAGCGAGGATGAAGGGGATGATGGAAAAAAAGAAAAGAAGAAAAGAAGACCAAGACAAAAGGCTTTTTGACGCTGCTTTAAGTAAGAGCGGCAGCCATCTTAGCCCCGAACAATAACAGGATTAGCTCAAGTGCTGTCAGTCTGCGCGGGGACATAATGCTGCCGTTAATATTCATAAAGAAATTAAGCCAGGTGTGTGTGTTCACGTGTGTGTGCGTGTGACGCGTGTTTTGTTAGGACGCGCTGATGAATATTCACGCCGGCCTCTCAGCGGAGGTGAGAATGTAATCAAGTGGAGTATTGATGTGTCGTGAGCTTCTATAAACCTGCTTTAAACCCGCCGCACAATGGGCAGCGTCGCCACGAAACCTGTGTGTGTGTGTGAAGACAAAAATGACATCGCTAACCATCCGGACCAACTGAAAGAGCAAAACAATTTATTTATGGTTGCTGAGGTTTAGATTAGGGTTAGGTTTAGGATTAGGCTTAGAAAATCCTATTACTTACAGATGCTCACAAATCATGGCTCTTGGACCTTTTTGTAACACACGTGAGACGTTATTATTACTACATATAGATTCATACATTTATATAACACACGTGAGACACCATTGTTACTCTGTATAGATATTTACATTTATATAACACACGTGAGACACCATTGTTACTCTATATAGATATTTACATTTCTATAACACACGTGAGACACCATTGTTACTCTATATAGATATTTACATTTATATAACACAAGTGAGACACCATTGTTACTCTATATAGATATTTACATTTATATAACACACGTGGAACACCATGGTTACTCTATATAGATATTTACATTTATGTAACACACGTGAGACACCATTGTTACTCTGTATAGATTTTTACCATCATACAACACACGTGAGACACCATGGTTACTCTATATAGATATGTACATTTATATAACACACGTGAGACACCATGGTTACTCTATATAGATATTTACATTTATATAACACACGTGGGACACCATGGTTACTCTATATAGATATTTACATTTATATAACACGTGAGACATTATTATTACTACATATCGA